TTTTTTTTTTTTAAAGATTTTTTTTGGCGTTTTATGCCTTTTATTTAGATAGGACAGTAGGTCGATTCGACAGGAAGCGAAGTGGGTGAGAGAGAGGGGGGTGGGATCGGGAAAGGACCGCGAGCCGGGACTTGAACTCGGGACGCCCGAAGCGCTACATGTCGGCGCGCTGCCCATGAGGCCATCGGCGCCGACTTCCTGTCAAGTTTAACTCCAGCACACCTGTTTGGAAGAGCTTGATTAATTGGTTAAGGCTTAAGCTAAATTCTGATGAAAGGTGCAGGATTGGACACCACTGATATACACATTGAGCTGGGGCTTATAACTGGGGGCTCGTCCGGGATCTGAAATGAGCTGGGTTTTAAAGTCAAGAATGAGCTTATTACAATCCAGTTACGATGTTTATGTATCACTGCACATTTGGGGCCAGTGAAACTTTCCATGACTTTGCCATGGTGAGTTAAAGGGATAGCCTTGGAGAAACCTGGTTCTGAGTGCTGTTTCTCAGTGCTGATGGATCTCCCCTTTGAACCTCCATCCTGTTGGTTATAAACCTAGATCTTTCACCAATACGCAAAGTATCTAGTCAATATCAGGCTAAGATCTGGTATACACCTATATATTGTAACGGAAGTCTAACTGAATTGCATTTGCTTAAGATTTTACTTCTATATTCCAAACTTGCTTAATTGTCTAATTTGCCAGTTGTAATTTTCCATGCACAGATGGGGCCAAAATTATGTGGCTTATACGAAATGAGCTGTCTGAATATTTAGACGAGCTTCACTTCTTTAATATTAGGCAAATGAACAACCCCGGGATGAATTCTATGGATAGACTATGCAGTAAATCAGAGATCCATGATGCTATAAACGGAAGGAAGATCAGTGGTTGGTCATATCATTGAATTGGTACTGGCAAGTTTTCCCATTTTTTCCCTGACTGATATCTTGCTTGTGAAATCACGTTCCATTTCATTTCATATACAGTTCTCTTCCTACATCCTAAATGACCCATTACTAACCAGGCCTTGCCAGCTGCCACCAATCACACGCAAGCAGGATGTTGTCATGGCACCTATCCACATAGTGGACATCTCTTTTTGGACACTATAGAGAGAGGAAAAAAAACAAACAGAGAATGACATATAAGTTTAGATGGATACTTAATTACATTTATGTGCAGCTTTTGATATTTTGCACATTAAAGGGTTAGTTCATCCAAAAATGAAAATTAGCTTGTGTTTTACTCACCCTCGATGCATCCTAGGTGTATATGACTTTCTTCTTTCAGACGAATCCAGTCGGAGTTATATAAAAAATTGTTCTGGCTATTCCAAGCTCTATCATTGCAGTCAGCGGGTGTTGCAGTTGAACAGTCCACAAGTTGTCAAATAAAGTGCCCGCATCCATAACAAAACATGCCTCACACGGCTCCTGGGGATGAATAAAGGCCTCCTGTAGTGAATTCATGCGTTTTTGTAAGAAAAATATCCATATTTCAAACGTAATAAACACTTTTTTCTCACTTCCGTTATCTTTCATATGCGGAAGGCGTTCCGGCAGATGACGCAGCACGTATGCGCAGCGCGCACGCCTCTGAGGTATGCTAGTCTCGCGAGTTTGTTTATAGGAGCAAAGGAAGCAAAGTTTCCTTACTTTAGCAAAGGAAAACAAGTCTCCTCTTGGCTTATATCGAAATAATCCGACATTCTTCTTTACAAATCCTCGTTTTGTACTTCTAATTCTTGACCGTTGTTTCGCCTTGATCTCTCTGCTGCGTTTCCGCGTTCGTCACTTCTGAGCGGCGCATGCGCAAAGCCATTTTTGCTGCTCTTCGAGTTGTGCATTGTGAACATTGAAGTACATAGAAATCCTTTTTTCACTGTTTAATTGTAAACCATTGGTTAGACTTAATTCTTGCAGTTACAGTTCTGTTCCAATTTCATTTAGGAATGGGCAGTTTCATTTATTATACAACCTGTGTAGTAGAAAGTTTGCTGTACTGTAAATTTGCAGTAAACACAGTACAACACTGTGCTAGTCAAATGGAGATTACACTAACACAACCGTGTTGACAGCATTTAAGCTTGTCTGTGATATTGCATTGGCTTGACCCCCGGCCCCTGATTTCTGACCCCGAGTGATTCCATCAAGAGATGGCTGACCAAGGCCTCTGCAGGTCAACAGGCCATTTAGATCAATTCCACCTTATTGACACTGAAAGTGTTCCACTTTTTGTTCTATAGTGAAAGCGTGGAAATCTAAAGTGCTGTGGAAATTAGGTTCTCATATTTCTCAGAGACGTGGCCTATAAGTGCAGTGATTTCCCAACCAGGGGTATGCGTACCTCAGGTTCCTTAAGGATGCTGCCAGCCTGCCCTGTATTGTACCTCCTAAATTTCAGTTTGGTTTGACTAGCTCTAAGAAAGCCATTTTGCTTTTATACATTTAAAATATACAAATAATTGTTAACATTCATTTTTGTCCATTTGTTTGATCATTTGTTGACAGAATCACGATTTTTGGGACTGGAGCGAAATGGCTGGCTGTGCTGGAGGAGAGAAATCTGAAACCTGGTGAGCTGCAATGAATTACAACCCTTCTTTCGTTTCTTCACTTTTTCTGTCATAATAGAATTGTCACTATACAATATTTCAGTACCAATACCAGTGATGTTTCATATTTCTTAATATCAAGTTGATGCCACTGCAAAAACAAATGTTGTTGATAATTCCTTTCTTTAAAGAATCTAATATTAATATTATCAAAATTAAAAAGTGGCATTTAGTGGCAAAGTGTTTTTAGTGGGGTAAACATTGCTTCAAAATTTTCAATGAATTTTCCACAGTCATTAATGTTCTTTGATTCATTTTAATGACATATAGGACAGTGGCTACTAGTTTATTATACATTTATACTGCAAAGCCTAATGCTCTGATTTTTTGGCAAATCATTTTTTTCTTGCTTGTTTACAAATCTACTGTTTACCTTGTCAGAAAGCACTTTGTTGCACTTGTTTGACTATTCATGTGCATCTGTGAGGCATGTGCACTAAATTGGGTCTGTACTTGGTACTTCTGATACGGTCTAAAGACTAATAAATGTATGTGTATGGTAGGGCTGCACGATAAATATCGCACAATATTTAATGCGCATCTCTTCAGTAAAGTCGGTTCTGTAATCAGCGGTAAATCTCTACACATGCGTGCTTTCACGTGGAGCAGCATTTACTACACAGAGCCGTTGTTCACAGACAAGCTGCGCAAAACCATGATCATATTTTGCGCATGTTTTGCGCAGCTTGTGACGAGATGCCGACTTTACTGACGAGATGCGCATTAATTATTGTGCGATATTTATCGTGCAGCCCTAGTGTATGGTTTTTGTTAGCTTCAATTTGCTTCCAAAGTGCTGTCTTTTGACATCCCTAGGACACATTAATTTGCCTACTTTCCCAGCAGTCTCTAGATGCCACTGACTGATTCACTAAACTGTGTGTGCGTGCTTGTAAATATTCAACAATGAGACAAACTAAAAGTGAATTAAAATGCAATTTACAGTGGAAGATGGAGTTTATGCGTAACGACTGCCGTGAGAGCGATCAAATTAGTGGTCCTTTTTTTTTTTTTTTTATAAAGAGTTACTGCAGGAACTCCTCT